CTATTTCCAGTTGTTTTTTTGGAGCTGTTTAAAAGAGAAGCATCCCATCACTAAATACTTGCTTGTTGTAGTAGCTTTAAACTCATCCCTTAGTATAATATTTCCCATCTGGGTAAAAGGTAATTGATTACTCATTTTCAGGATAAATTGTGATTACCCCTTACTGGGTTTTCTGCTTCTATTATCTTCCACATTTTTACAATCAATTCTCACAGCCAAATTACCATGTGATATTTTAACTGTGACACCTTCTTTCAGTTCTTCAAATTGCTTTCCTTCAAATGAGGCAGCATCATCACCTTCTATTTCAAGCCACTTCTGCAGTGTGTGTTTTGGGAATACTCTTACACTGGGCACCGCCTGCTCTAGACCACTCCTGCCAATTCTCCGTTGGAGTTGACCTCTGCTCTTCTTAATGACCACTCAGCCTTGTGAGCCACACTCTCTGCTTGGTGTCTTTTTTTCTCATATTGGAGTAGTTTCTGTTCTTTCTGGCTGCTCTCACCTTCCATTAGCTAAGTTTATCAGTCCAAAGAAACCAGCTCTCTCATATGCCACTAAGAACTGGTAGACAGTTCCACAGCATTTTTCAAGTCCATTCATTCTCCCACTTCTAGATGATTATATGCTGTCTTCTCTCTCAAACTTCCAACATCGCCTGCTCATCCCTCTTCTCTGAGGTGATAACCTTGCTTTCCACTTTCCAGAGAAAATAGAAGTGAGAAAAAAGAAACATCCCTGCTCTCACTCCACAATCCCAATCCCTCCTGCCTGGAGTTAATTCGTGTCTTATTCCTTCTTCTTTTTTTTTTTTTTTTTTTTAATTTTTCCTTTTTTTAGTACAACTTCCCAAATCTTGACCAGTTGTTGAAATGACACTCAGCTGTATAAACAGTCAATTTCAGCTTTTTAAAGAATAAGTCTCGGAACCTTCTCATGTGTTCTAATACCTACTAGGCGCAAGACTGGCATCCTGGAATCTTCCCTCACCATCATCCTAGAGATTCCCTTCCCCTTTCACCTGTATTGATCTCTGAATTCACATAACCTGTATCATCTTCTTTCTTGGATTTTTTTTTTCCATTTTACTGGTGCACATCCTCCAATGGCTTCCCAAGAAAAGGTACAAGGGAATTAAAAGTTTTGAGATCTTGTGTGTCTGAAATTATCTTTATTCTACCCTCAAACTTGATTGATATTTTTGGTAGGATTTTACTTCTTGTTTGGAAATCCTTTTCTTTTAGCATTTTGAAGACATTTCTCCAGTGTTTTCTAGATTCCAAAGTTGCTTTTGAGAAAAGTGATGTCATTCTGATTCCTGATCTTTGTATGTGACCTGGATTTCTGTTTCCCCCTGCATTCCAAACTGGTCTTATCTTTACCTCCTTCTCTTCCTGCACCCCCAGTATTTTGAAATTTCACAATGATGTTCCTTATTATTGGCCTATTTTCATTTATCATGTTAGAACTCAGTGGACCTTTTTAATCTGCAAGCGCATGTCCTCCCACTTTGGGAAATTTTCTTGGGTTATTTCTTTAACTCCGCATTGTTAATTGTCAGTTCTTATCTTACTTGACCTATTAGTACCATGTGACACATTTGATCCTTCTCCCTCTTAATGCATTTTCTCCACTTAGCTTCCAAATCCACACTCTTTTGATTCTCTTGCTGTTTCAGAAGCCACTGCTTCTTAGTAGCTTTTCCTGGCATCTCAACTCCTAAACCTATGAGCATTGGAGTGGTCCAGGAATCTACCCTATAACTTTTCTTTTTCTCTATTTGTTTATTCCCTACAGGATTTCTTCCAGTCTCATGGCTTTAAATACTATATATACTCTGATGACTCCTAAATTTATACTGCAGCCAGGACATAATTCTTTATCTCCATGCTCATATACCCAACTCTCAGCTTGGCTAATCTATTAGGATATCAAATATGAATTTCAAACTTAAAATAATCTGTACAGAACTCCTATTTTTTTTCCCCTTTAAAACTCATGGGTTCTGCCATCTTCTCCATCTGAAAAAATGGAAACTCTATTTTTCCAGTTGTTCGGTTCAAAAACCTTGGAGTCCACCTTAGCTTATCTTTTTCTTTCATACCTTATATTTGATTAAATCCACTGCCAATTCTGATGAACCTTCTTTCAAATATTATAGCCATTTCTCACCTTCTCCACGGCCACTACCCTGGTCCAAGCCATCATCATCTCTCTCCTGAATTACTGCAATAGTCTTCCAACAAATTTTTATGCTTCCGCTCTTACCGCTTGTGCCATTTAGTAGGTTGTTGTCTCTCAGCTACAAACACACTTTCCTTTACAGTGTTTTGTGATGTTGGAACCAGGACAAATCACATTTTTCCTTTGCCACCTGGTTCCCTGTGAGGCTTTCCAATAGGGGGCATTAGACAGAGGCTGGCGGAAGAGGAAGGGGGCCTTTCTGCTTCCTATTGGCATCCTGTGGATTTCCTGTCTACATCCTGTGGGTTTCCTGTCTCTTTATGGGTCTTACGGCATCACCCTAGCAACGGTCCCTTTCCATAGCAGTAGCTCAATCCAACTGGCAGTTTTTTCCAACACATTTAAAACAGTCAACACACAGATGAGAAATTCTTATTCTTCTAGTAATTTGGCATTTGTGAAACCACAACAACCCAATCTAAGCAATAAAGCCTGTTGTAAATATTAGCATAAACTAGAAGAATTAGTCTGTATTTGGCCATCCCAAATTCTTGTTTCCTTATTCTCTTTTCAGGCATTTTCTTACCACATGGGCTGGCTTTTCTGGTTTAAAGTTTTGCTTCAGCCTATAACAATTCTTTTCTATGATGCTCTCCAGCTCAGGGAGGAAAAATGGCCAATATTAGTTAATTTGACCAATTGCTTGCCTCTTGCCTGTCTTGGAGTGCACGTGTTAGTGACAGGGGTAGTGGTGGTAGCGCAGACGGTACGTTAAGTCAGGATCTCCGGCAGGACATGTGTCTTTGGAAAAACATGTACAGTATTATAATATAATTATATATTGAAATATTTATATTTGGAAATTTTAAGAAACTTCCTTATAGTTTTCACAAATTATAGGAAGTCATGTTCAGCAACATTTTCTTTTGGTTGTTTGGGATTTACAGATTTGTGATTCTTAGGGGAGGTCACAGCCACCTTGGGAAGTACATCAGAATCTAGAGGGACAGCGACAAGATAAGAGATCTTAACATTTATTAAAGAGAAATTTGGGTTCTGGAGGGACAGCGACATAAGAGATCTTAATATTTATTAAAGAGAAATTTGGGTTAAAAAAAGTCTGAGAAACTCTGCTTTACATTGCCCCTTTCCCTTATTTCAGCATCCTATCTCCCATTCCCAGTGACATGGTATTCCTTCTTTACAAGAGCCCTGTCCTAGAGGCAGGGCCCTATGACTCAAGTCTTCTCAATGCCCTATAGCAACTCTTTTTTTCCTAAGACAGTAACAAGTCATTTGATGAACAGGTTTCTCTGTTGACATATTAATGGCTGATAATGTTTTCCTCCTCTCAGTGTTTTTATGGAACCACCTGGAGGAATCTAAGTGCTTTAGCGAATTAGAATAATTCTCTAACTAGAGAAATTGCAGACACCTTGGCTGTCTTAGGGGTAGGCGCTGGGGAGGTATTTTCAGTAATTGATTGGAAAGGAATATTTAGTATTATGTCATACCATGTATATGGCTAGTTATTCTTAGAGCTGACCCTGCTGCCCACTAGATTAATGATGGCGCTCGGAGAGCTAATGGGAAACAGACTCCACTTTTCTGTATCACAAAGCCCCGTAGAGGGCAGGATTCAAACTCTACTGCTGTCTTCTAAGACCAGAGGCTCTTGGAAAGTTGTATCCTTCTTGGGTTACCTCTCAGCTCATCACTGCAACAAATTCTGTGAAACAAAAAGGCTACATTTCTCAAATCTTTGCTAGATGATAACCTGCGCCTGATATAGCTAAAAAGCCCAGAAGGCAGAGGCTTCCTAATGCAAATTCTCATTAGATGGAAAAGTTTTCTGATTAGAAACATTTGGGTTATTGTACAAGCACTTTCAGTTATTATTTGTTTCAACATTTGTTTTTCTGCTTCCTTGAAATTTTTGTCTTTTTTTAAAAATTGAAGTATAATTGATTTACAATGCTGCGATGTGTTACTTTCAGGTGTACAGCACAGTGACTCAGTTATACATAAATATATAAATATATGTATATATATATTTTTCAGATTCTTTTCCCTTATAGGTTATTACAAAATATTGGGTATAGTTCCTTGTGCTACACAGTAGGTCCTTGTTGGTTATCTATTTTATATATAGTAGTGTGTATATGTTAATCCCAAACTCCTAGTTTAGCCCTCTCCCCACCCTTGAAATTCTTTGCTCCCTTGGGTCCCAACACATCTCTTTTTCCTGTTTCTTGTTAGCTTCCTTTGCTGGTTTTTCTTTCATCTACCCTCCCTCCTTGATGTTGGTGCTTCCCAGTGTTACCTCTTAGCTCTCTCTCTCTTTTTTTTTCTCACTGAATTTGCCTTCTCTTGGGGAAAACATCCACAGCCTTCTCTGTCAGCCATAACCGCCACTAGTGTAGATCCATCCCAGACCGCGATTCTCTTCTTGGCTTCAGACAGCTATGTGTCTACTGGCTGCCTCCATTGAGAAGTCCCATAGGTATCTCACATTTAATATATCCCCAGGGTGAATTAATGATCTTTCCCGTCACATCTTTCTTGTCCCTGTATCCCTATTACAGTTATTAGCCCCATCCAGCCAGTCACTGAGGTGACTAACCTTTAAGTCTTCCTTGCACCTCCTGGCTTCATCCTCTACCTGTAAAGCCCTGACAATGTTACTTTCACATTATCCATTAACTTTGTACTGTCTCATTATTTCTCATGCCATTGCCCTTGTTCAAAGGATAACAGCCCTTGTCAGAGCTCAGACAGTGTCCTAAGATCTTCCTTCAATCTGTTTTCCCCTACAGTACAGATACATCTTCTGAAATCCAAAATGAAAATTCTTGACTGGATCCCCATCACTTTCTCAATGAAGTCGCAGCTCATCATCCATCCCTCACCACCTCTCCCATTTGCCTCAGACTCCAGCATCATTCATCACTCCCCAGAGACTGCGCTCGCCAGCACCGCTGCACTCATGGAGTGCCCTCTGCCTGGATGGTCCTCCTCATTTTCCCTTACAAGGCTTAGCTCTCCAAAGGCTGGGCACGGTCTCTTTCATCTTTTTATGACCAGAGTGTTTGACACACAGAGAGTGAATCTTCAGCAAGTAACTGGGTTAATATGTGCCATTCTGGTGAAATACTTTATTCCAAATTTTAAATTAAATTACCATAAATAAATAAATGAACCAGAAGAATCTACATGGTAACTGAAAAATAAGGATAAGAGGAAATCAAATGCTAACATCTTTATGGAATTTCCACTAACTGTAGGGAGGAGAACGTTGAGTTGAGAGTCATAATCCTAAACGAAGCCTACTGAACCAGAGGAGCACAGAAATCTGGGAGGAAGATGGGAAAAGACTATGACTCAACCCCATTCTATCCACTAGCCAAGAAACAGAAAAATTCCAAAGCCATGTGAACTCTTTTTAGACTGATATTGTCATGCCCTTCCTTCTCCCTGTCAGTTCTCTCTTTCGTCCACTTGGAAACCATACTTCACAATACATCTGCTGACATGGGTAGAGACAGTAGCACTTCGCAGGCTGAGATGTGTAAAAGCTTCAGGAAAATGTTTACAGAGGGAAGATGAAGAAGGGAGGAAGAGCCCTAAGAATAGTGCAGCTTGAAGTACAATTTTTACTCCTGTCATTGACTGAAGAAGAACTAAAGCTTGCCTGTGACTACCTAGCAGTCAGTCAACTGGCCAGTTGGAGTGGAACATCCTCCCTCAGTCCAGTAGAAACAAGAGATGAATGTTTACAAGACAGTGGAAACCAGGCCCAGGGTTCAGCACTCCAGCGTTCTGTCTAGGAATAGATCCAAAAAAGACAATGTACAAACACCTAAATGACCAGTAAGAGGGTAAGAGGACATCCTGCACCCACCCATTCTGCAGCCAAATATTGTTCTGGATCAGGTTAGTGGTTGTGCACATGCATACGTGCATGTGTGTTTACTGTTTATGGAAAATAATTTTAAAATATTTGGTGTAGATCCCCCCAAATATTCTGCAGCACAGAGAAAAGTGACTTAAAGGCTCAGAAGAAAAAAAAACAGAAAAAAAAATTTTTCCAGAGGAAATAAGAAAAAAACTTTCAAAGCCTTAGCTTGATGTACTTAACAGGAGTTGACTCACTGGGTACAAGGGGTATTTAGGAGAACAGAGAATAAGCTGAAAGTACAGCTGAAAACAGAGATGGCTGAGAGCAGGCAGAATTGCAAAGAAAGCAATACATTTCACATTGGATGCAACAAAGAGTGCAGACAGTACAGTCTGTAATATTTAAACTTGAATGTAGAGGGGAAAAAAAGAGATGTACATGACAAGAAATAAGGTTGAGGACAACCCAGTGTTTATAGCAGCACTATTTACAATAGCCAAGACATGGACGCAATCTAAATGTCCATTGACAGGTGAATGGATAAAGAAGATGTGGTACGTATATATATAGTGGAATACTACTCAGCCATAAAAAAGAGTGAAATAATGCCATTTGCATCAACATGGTTGGACCTAGAGATTATCATACTAAGTGAAGTAAGTCAAAGACAAATATCATATGATAACACATATGTGGAATCTAAAAAATGATACAAATGAACTTATTTATAAAACAGAAACAGACTCACAGACATAGAAAACAAACTTATGGTTACCAAAGGGGAAATGGAGGGGGGAAGGGAAAAATCAGGAGTTTGGGATTAGCAGGTACAAACTACTATGTATAAAATAGATAATCAACAAGGTCCTGCTGTATAGTACAGGGAACTATATTCAATATCTTGTAATAAACTTAATGGAAAGGGATCTGAAAATAATATATATATATATATATATATACTTCAATAAAAAATATATGCTTCAATATAAAAGTTAAAAGAAATTTTAAAAAAGAAATAAGTTGGAGGAAAAAGAAAGGAGAGCCGTGTAAGTTTCAGGTTTTCTGAAGAAGAATCAAGAGAGAACAAAAATAAGCAATCATTAGACCCAATCAGAAAAAAAATGTTAAAAAATCTTTTCTGAAACAGGACCTGGTCCACAGATTAAAGGCACTTGTCACGTTCCAAGGTCAACTTAATGGGAAAAGACCCGCATTGACATATTCTGACAACATTTTTACATTTCAAGGATAAAGAGAAAAATTCTACAAGCACCGAGTCAGAGAAACATGGTTCACTCACAAAGGAGTAAGAATAAGTGTGGCTTCAGACCTCTCCATATCATTGAACTTCAGGAGCAGTGTCACAGTAGGTACAGAGATTGAACAGCAGAATTCCTTCTCCAGACAAGTTGTCTATTCATATAAAATACAAGAGCTCAGAAAATATATTTCTCAAATACCTTTCTTGAATTACGTGATTATATAATAAGTTCTCTGTGTGTGTGTGTGTGTGTATATATATATATATATACACACACACACACACACACACATACCACAGCAGAGTGCCAAATACTCAAGGAAATTTGCAGTATAAGGTACTAATAGTAAAATCCAAAAGCTGTTAAAAATGTAGGGGCTGAACAGTGGTATGCTGGTCAGTGTTTTAAAACCACCTGTAGGGGTGTGGGGGAGCAACATGATTTGTAGAGTTTGCCAATGTTCATGGTGTAAGAACGGCTACTGTGTCCGACATCGAGCTACCAGTGTGATGTCAGTGTGGAATTGAGAAGTGCAATCGACTCTCACATGCCTTTAGGAGCTGGCTTCAGCTGGACCAGTTATCTGCAATTTGAGAAGAAAAATAAACATTTTATTTGAGACCATATACCAAAACCAATTGTATACTCCTCGTATTAGTTCCTTGGGGCTGCAGTAACAAATGACCATAAACTGAGGGGCTTAAACCAACAGAGGTTTACCGTCTCACGGCTCTGGAGGCTGGCAATCTGAAATCCAGGTATTGGCAAGGTCGTGCTCTCTTTATGTCTCTAGGGGAGGATCCTTCCATGCCTCTCCCTAGCCTCTGGAGGCGCCAGCGATCTTTGGCTGGTAGACTCATCATTCCGATCTCTGCCTTCGTCATCACATGGCATTCTCCCTGTGTGTTTCTGTGTGGCCGTGTCTGTTTTCTCTTCTTACAAGGATATCGGTCATTGGATTAGGGCCCACCCTAATCTGCTATGACCTAATTTCAGAGTAACTAATTACATTACAAAGACCCTATTTCCAAATAAGGCCGCATTCTGAGTTTCTGGGTGGGCAAGGATTTGGGGAGGAACACTATTCAACCCAGTATAAGAATGAACACAAAACGTAAGAAACAAACCACACAAAAGATAACATTGATGTGAATACCTATTTGTTCCGAGGATGGAATACTTTGTGCTGACAAGAAACCACAGGAGGGTGATTATTTGACTCCAAAAATTTTTAATTTCTTCTTGCCCAAAACATGAATAAAGTTGAAAATCCGACAATAATTTAGGGGAAAATCACATCAGCTATGAAAAGAAAAATGGTAAATGTCTTTCATATATAAAGATAGTATGTAAATAGATATGAAAAATATTACAGCCCAGGAGATAATTGGATATAAAGGTGGAAAAGTCACAAAGAAGTACATGCAGATGGCTCATGAAATGAGTAAGTATTCAACAATATTAATAATTAAATACAATTACATTAAAATAGCAAGCTATCTATTTTTAACCATCGAAGTAGCAAAAATAAAGAGAAAAGCTAACAATGACTGTACATTCTCATGGGAGAATAATGGGGGACTAAATTAGTGCAATCTTTTCTACTAGAAAAACAGAAGAATTGACATGTATCAAGAACCTTAAAAATGTTCCTACCTTTTGAATTATGAATAACACTCTGAAAGTCAATCTTACAATGGTAATCTTGAAATCTGTATAGCATAAAGTAGAAAGCAGAAAAAAAAAAGGAGGGGTATCAAAGAATTAAGTATTATCTTGAACAATTACAAACACTCTATTGTTGAAGATTTATTGTAGAGAATGTAATCCATACTAGGTAGTTTAAGCATAAAGGGATTGATTTAAATGGATTTTAAAATCGCTGGGAGGCTGATGAAACATTGAAGAAACAGAGAATGACTCCAAAGGCCGCACTGCAGAACTTACTGTGATCAGTAGAGGGAAGAGCAGGGAGCCACCTGCCACAATGAGAACTTACACGTCAGCTGCTAGCTCCAGACGCGTGCTACTTGAGTCAGAATCTGACTTTAAAACAAAAACACTTGTTTCCAGTTTCATTCTGCACTCTGAAGACTGAAGTTATAGATTTGGCTGCATTTCCACAGGAAATGATCAGGCAAAGACACCCAATTGGAGTCAGTTGAGTTTCTGCAGCCTCAGTGGGGGCCCTTCCAGTCTTTTCTTCCACTTCTGCAGAATTTCCTGCAGCAAATACTTCTTTCTCCTTGTTTCCTTCACTGTGATGTTTGGATAAGAGATGGCCAGTGGAGGATATTTGTCTCTTAAAAGAAAAACAAAAACAAAAACTAGACAAGCTAAAAAGAACCTAGACTCTTCAACTGAACAGTCATTATGAAAATTGCTAATGGTGCCCAGGCCAAGGAAAAAGTCACAGAAAATGAGTGTGGGAAGGAGTGATCACCCCCAGAATGCAAAATCAGAGGAGTGTTATCTGGTGCTCGAACAAGGAGCTCCACTTAACAACCATTTTTCTTTTAGGACTTGTGAGGGATGCAGCCACAGGAAATCCATCCACAAAGGACGCAGTGGCCCAACTTGTACCGCACCTGGATAGTTATGTGATATTTACTGAAGAAATCTAGTGTACTTTAAATTTTTTTCATAAAAGTTTACATTGTATTGTAGGTTAATATTAAATGTTTTATAACAAAAATGTCAAAAACAATTCATTCAACCCAGTTCAGAATTCAAGACACACAGGTGCATTTCATTGGTTGAACCTACATCACAGCTGGAACCCTAGCTGTAAAGAAGTCTGGGAAATGCAGTTTTTAGTATCCCAGCTTCTGAGCAGAAGGCACAGAAAGAGGTCGGAATGGATACTATGTGAGGACGTTGATATAATTGCCACACCCTAAACATCCAAAATGTAAGAAATGCATTCAGTAGCTTTTTAAAGATAAATTTATTTATTTTATTTATTTATTTTTGGCTGCGTTGGGTCTTCATTGCTGCGTGTGGGCTTTCTCTAGGTGTGGCGAGCGGGGGCTACTCTTCGTTGCGGTGCACGGGCTTCTCATTGCGGTGGCTTCTCTTGTTGCGGAGCACGGGTTCTAGGCGCACGGGCTTCAGTAGTTGTGGCGCTCAGGCTCAGTAGTTGTGGCTCACGGGCTCTAGAGCGCAGGCTCAGTAACTGTGCATATGGGCTTAGTTGCTCCACGGCATGTGGGATCTTCCCGGACCAGTGATTGAACCCGTGTCCCCTGCATTGGCAGGTGGATTCTTAACCACTGCTCCACCAGGGAAGTCCACATTCAGTGACTTTAAATGATTTTGGAAATACTTTTGCTTTAACATTTTTTTAAAAAGCATGGAATAGAAGATATATGTAAGATCTCAACTTGTGAAAAATATATAGGGGACAAAACACTCTGGAGAAGTATGCCAGTGCATTCGGCACTTGCATGAGTCTATGAGGGATTTCTTTTTCTTAAGTATACCTTTTACCTTTTCTACAGTGACCATAAATTAATTTTATAATCCTCATTCCCCATCACAGCAAGTCAACAAACATTTGTTAAATAAATGCTGGAATTAGTGACATGAATGAACGGACTATTTGTTTTGCTCTTCTAGGATTTAAAGAAATAAGAAAGGGCTTGTTAATTTCCCTTTAAACTTGGCTTTTTCAGAGCAGCCGTGAGTTCTGGCTGCTGATACAATAGTGTGGGTAGCACAGTTTAGCCATTTAGATATAAATTTAGGTATGTGCGCATGTCTTTGTCTTATGTTATTTATGTTAAAGTATATGACTATTGTATTAGTTAGGATTCTACAGAGAAACAGAACCAATAGGATAGATAGACAGAGAGATAGATAGATAGATAGATAGATAGATGAAGTGGCTTATTATAGAGGATTGATTCATGCAACTGTGGAGGCTGAGAAGTCCCATCCCCTGCTGTCTGCAAGCTCGGAGACGGGAAAACTGGTGGTTTAGTTCCAGTCCAAGTTTGAAGGACTGAGAACCAAGAATACATAGTTAGGTTCTACTCCCTGTCCAAAGGCCTCAAAACCAATGGTGTTAAGTCCCAATCCAAAAGCAGAAGACCAATGTCCAGCTAAAGTAATCAGGCAGAGAGGATGAGTTCTCCCATCCTCTGACTTTTTGTTCTATTGGCGCCCTCAGTGGCTTGGATGATGGGGAGAGCTACCTGCTTTACTCAGATGGATTCAAATCCTAATCTCCTCTGGAAGCACCCTCTCGGACACACCCAGAAATAATACTTAACCAGACACCTGGGCACCCCATGACCCAATCAA